CCGACGTTAGCTTCACGTTTATGTCACACCATGGAAACAGCCAACAACATGTTGCTTGTTTTTGAGCGGAGCGGATCGCCAACCAGCCTGCCGGCTTGTTTCATTTTCTGTTATTTTTGTCTATGATTGGATAGAAAAAAAACGAACTACAAATACTCCAAGATGTTTTTGACTTTATTAAAAAATAAAATCGTTTTTGTAGGATGGAAACTTTTTGAGGTTAACCCCCCCCCCCCGAAAAAAAACTAAAGCAAACAAACAAGTTTTTTATCCGAGAACGATCTTTTGACGTAGTCCCTAAGCTTCTGGTACATCTTCTAAAATACCGTAACAAAACTGACAAACCTCAGGTGAGAAGGGTTCATAGCTGTTCAGTCGATCAGGATCAGTAACTGCATGGTTGTAAACCTGCTGCATGATATGGCGTAGTAAACCAGTGCCAGCTTTCTTTGAAACCCGATCAGGACAAGTCGTACCTTTCCACTAAAAATAAAATAAAATAAAACAGAAAAATTTATGCCATGTAGAATAGAAGAAACGATTGAGGGCAGTATAACAAGTTAATCTACTGTAACATACTAGTACTTTAAGAATTTTTGGGGCAGTTTATTTTCACTATTTTTTGATGAGTTGAATGTAAAATATATGAAAAAAAGCATATTCACTGGATTTTATTTTCATTGAATAAAAATAACTTCCAAGCAAAAATGAAGTATTTTACAGCATAGCTCTGACTGATGTCAATTTGAGTTATAATTTAAGTATCCATTAATTGTCTTCATAGTCAAATTTGATTTCACAAAATTCACCTAAGAAATTAATGTTAATTTTGAATCAAACTGACAGGAACACAACATTATTTACAGCTTTTGATTATAAAATTGGGACATAGCAAACAAAATATTTTGTAGAATACAACAACAGTGACCGGGTGAACATTGTCTAAGCTAAGGTTTTCAACCCAAATAATTACAATTATTTATGTCTGGGTGAATTGCAGAAAGATATGAAATGTACACAAAATCTAGTGCACTGATAGGATAAAAATACAACAGGTACATGTTAGCATTTCAGTGTTGATTTCCACAAGTGACAAATAATGGCCATTCAACCATTCAAGTGAAACCTTGTTTGTCCATTGTCTTGCTGGACAGACCACTTCATTCAGAAATAATCACAGAACATTATGCAGGTACATTGTATGTTTAGCATCTCCTAAACCTGGTAAACCGTGACATAAATTGTAAGTAAGTATTGATATTAAAAATTCCTCTTTTTGCTCGGTTTTGTGGCAGAAATGATTTACATGCGGTTTTGACAAAAATACTACATGTAGTAATATTTTATCCGTTGGAATCTGGAAAGTGTCCAATTTCAAAATAGAGGTTCTATTTTTTTGTAGATTAATAGAAAAAATTGAGAAAGGCATATTTCAATAATCTGGCATACAATAAATACAATCTTAGTTTTTGATAGAACAGATATGATACATGCACTCTAATTTGGATAAAGAACAATTGACGTGACAGATGCAAAAACTGTGACCTAAAAGAAGATTTGGAACACTTGCTGTGGGAATGTGAAGAAAGCCAGAAATTCTGGCAAAAATTTTAAATATTTTGGATAAATATATGTGCCAAAAATATCAATATTTGTCAAAAAAGAGGTAATTTTTAATTCTGGTGGCAAAAGTAACTTTCAAGCCCTGTGGAAGCACTTAATTCTACTTGGGAAATACGACTTAAACTTATTCATTGAAAGAGTAAAACAAACCTTTAACTTAGCAAAATCGATCGCAGAACAATATAACACGAAATATTTGTTAACATTATAATACTGTAAATATATACATATATAACATGAGCGACATTGACCTTGTTTTAGTGTTTTTGTATTACGATCAACTGTTTTTGTTCATTTTTTTTTGTATTAATAAAAAAAGACGAAAAAAGAGCAACCTTCTCAGATGATGTTTGAAAGACTGTACTACATGTAGTTTGTGAACAAGAAACTGAGAAGTTAATCTCACTGAAACTGTTTGACAGGAGTCACAATGTACTCACGATAGATCTGGCTTGAGCCAAATGTTGACATACATTGAAATACATGTAAGGTCATCAGGACACTGACATAATGATTTCATCAGGCCAATGAAATAATGACGTCAACAGGCCAATGAAATAATGAGGTCATCAGGACACTTAAATAATGATGTCATCAGGACACTGAAATAATGATGTCATCAGGACACTGAAATAATGTCATCAGGACACTGAAATAATGTCATCAGGCCAATGAAATAATGACGTCATCAGCACACTGAAATAATGACGTCATCAGGACACTGAAATAATGACGTCATCAGGACACTGAAATAATGACGTCATCAAGACACTGAAATAATGACGTCATCAGGCCAATGAAACAATGACGTCACCAGGACACTGAAATAATGATGTCATCTGATCAGACACTGAAATATGACGTCATCAGACATGAAAAAAAATGACGTCATCTGGACATG